TTGAACTGACATTAACAAAACTCAATTATAGGTTAGGTTGCAGTTTTAACGGTTACTATAGCGGCAATGATGTCAGATGTTAAAAAAATTCTTGTGATGTCAATCGATATTGTAGGGGCCCTAAATTTAATTGTTTTATGAAGAATGTGCCAATAACTCTCGGGGTGCCAACAACTGTAGGTTTTCCTGATAACCCTCAAACCAACTTTCATTATTATTGGCGAAAAAACCCAGCTTAAACTTTAACAAATTGTTTTGCGCCATAGTGAGCCCTTCAGTTGAAAGTAACTAAACTTTCCCTTAATGGACTCGAAGACAGTGACCTGAACAAGTTCAGTGTTAGCTTGGAGTTTTCAAATTGATGCGATCGAGTAACGAGGAGTGACAAGAAAATTACGGATCGTATTTCCAGGCTAAGCCAGTTAGAGGTTCGATTGGAGAAAGTGAACAGTTCTGGTGGCTTTTAGGGCCCAACGTTAGTCACAGTTGCCTGAGAGAACGCTTAGATGTCTATCTATGTAAGCTTTCGATGTAATCCTTGTTGTTGATAAAGTTGATAAACCTTGTTGCAGATAAAGCGAAAAATTTCAGTCATGCTTATTCAATTCGCTGCTCATGCATGCCAACTTAGAGATAACCGGATGGCAGCGTGGCTCTAAATAAAGCAGGAAAATGTATCTCGCCAAGATAAACTCCCAGACGTGCACTAGATTTCTGCTTCAAGAAAAAAGCGGTCATATATTTACAAATTTATTCAAATTTCCTGTTTGAGCTTGAGCAGGACGAGTCGCATTTTATAGTGTTTTTAGTAGTTGCTGCAAATTTACGATGCGATCATAAATTCCAGTGCGAATTGTACGGGCGGGCCCCGAGCGTCTTGTCTATTGCAACGTTTTATTTTCTGGAAAAGTGAAAGAACTGATGAAAATGTCCTGTTTGATGTTTTTTTTAGCGTCAGAAGGTTTACGCTAGGCAAAGAATGTTGCAATAAACTCTTGAAAAGGAACCATTCAGGTCCATTTTAACCACACATGTAATGGCGCAAATTTTTTAAAATAAACTGCACGGCGGAAGCAAAGCATGCAAGAACAAGCCGATTAAACCCACTAATTCCATTGGCGCTAAACAGTGCCTTGTCTAACCTAGTTGGACAAATTACATAAGTTTCATGGTATCACGATGATAGTTCAACTAAAACTTCTCCAGTTAAGTTGCGCTTTGCTTTATGCTCTATGTAAAATCAGCGAATTTAGGTTAGCGCTATAATGTGGACATCTTTGCGCGATGTCGATAGAGAATGGAGCTTTTGTTCATTTGTTACCAGAAACTGTCGGCACATTTGCTTTGTTTTGGACTCAATTATGTGTCGCAGCTATTTGGATGTTGAAGCCACTTTGATAACAACAAACAAATAATCGAATAATTCATAAGGAAGTTGAAGAATAACTTTGTCTCAAATTGTTAGCATAATTCTTTTCGCTAGGATGCGAGGAAATGAGCACCCAAAAATAATCGACAGTTACTTTGGATTAGTGCCAATACGAATTTTTATATAGTAAACATATGGTACCTATAGTATAGTTCCAACTTAAAAATGCAATTATATTATTTTCTTTACTAAGCTCCAGTCACAGTGTGCAACAAAAATTATTTGTATATCGTTTATTTAGTTACGTTTCGGCGAGATAACAGCGCCTTCATCAGATTTCATTCCAATTATGAGTTTGCATGATATTTAAAATCTGATGATGGCGCTGTTGTCTCGCCGAAACGTAACGAAATAAACGATACACAAATTATTTTTGTTTCACACTGTGAGTGGAGCCCAGGAAAGGAATTAATATAACAACAATTAGACGCAGCCAGAAAAATAAATAAAAAAAAAGAAAAATTCAATTTAAACACGAAAACACTGGATGAAATTTGGGCGCAGTTTAGGGATTGAAAACGGGTTTTTTCACAATGAAAAACGTTCAATGGTGGAGTTGTGGATAATCCCAAAATCCAAAACAAAATGCTTTATATTTTGTGCAGTTTTCATCGCGAAAAAGGGAGGATCGCAATGAGCCCATTGAACAACGCGCTAAACCCTTCAGGGTTACAATCTTTCACTCACGATATGCTCTTATTATCGTTTCAAAAGGTTCAAAGGCCTTTTGAGGAGCTGATTAAGCCGTAAACAATTCTTTGAGCTAAACTAAAGTTGCTCGAATTTCCTTAACTTCTTGAGCGCTTTTGTCACAGTCTTGCAATTGTGGCACAAACTTTATGCGACACCAAGCAGACCGACATTTTGCGGAAGAGTGCAAATTAAGTGGGCCTAAATTTAAAGTTACCGAATTCGAAGGATCCCTCAGCGCCAAAGTGCACCCCAGGGATGGATTTATGCAGATTTCCAACAAGCGAAAAGAGCACATCCGGTTTCCTCGAAGCAAATTGCGCCGGATACAGGAAAAATCGCGAAATAATTCCGATCCTGCAGCAATACACGACGCGACGGGGGTAAAGTTCAAATTTATGGTCGATCCCCGTTTCGAAAAAATATACCGTTGATTCTAAACTTTATTTCCGCATTTGTCAAGGGTGCTTTTTATATTCAGAAAACGGCCCAAAGGAACGGCACAGAACGGTTGGAATGGTTGGAATGGTGGCTCTGATTTGTGCCAAGATCGCTCTAAATCATTTCGGGGCTCAAATCTCGCATGCAATGGAGAAAAAAGTCATGGACCAGATTGTTGCTGGTTGTAACAACTGGACTGTTTTATATTAAATTGCACTCTAAAAGAGAGATTCGATATAATTCGCATCAAAGGACTCAATTAAAATCTCCATTAAATCACCCGCTGTTGAGGCGAACCCGTGACTCGCAATCAAGTGGTTTAATTACTTTTGGTATATAATGTGTTCTGTAAAAAAACTCCCTTTATTTACGCCTGAACGATAAAGCATTTAAAGTTAGTCAAAGTGTAATGAGTTGAATGAGTCAAACTTTGAGCCAAGGGCGGATCCAAGGGGGGGGGGG